GTGTAAGTCTAAGTTTCAATTAGCGTACGCCTGCTGACAGCTTTTAAATCTGTGTTATACTCCTCTGCTTGTTCTATTGCTACAGTTCTGGACCAGTGGTTTTATTGTGTACACAGGCAGTAATACTTTCTAAAGGTCGGGGGATGCCAAGCAGAATTAAATGCCTCCGTTGGCTGAGCACATTGGTGGTGGCACGACAATTTGAGATGGAGTGGTTTCACTGTGGTGACAGGAAAAGCCTGGTTCAAATACTTAAAAATATCCAGTGCTCCAGTGTTCAAAAATGTAGTAAAGTATGTAACATTTATTTATAGAGCGTCCTTCACAGAGATCAGCTCCCAAGGTGCTTTACAGATTCAAAGTATTAGTAGCAATGAAAAAGATAAAAAGCAGACAAACATACAATACAAAAGTATGATACAGTCTGAAAAAACACCAGACAGTAGCTCAGTTGGTCATGTTTCTCCACTGATTCAAACGGTTGGAGGTTCAAATCCGACTCTCGACAGAAGCATCATGTGTGAATGGGTGGATGATGGAAAGCGCTTTGAGTTCCTTGAACGTGGAAAAGCACTATATGACCATTTACCACTTCATTCAAATGTATTCTGTAAATATATTGTGTTAAATGTGTTCACCAGCATACCTGCAGCATACCCTTACAAAAAAATTATTATGTAACAATAACTGAAATATTGTGATATTGTATCATCAAAGTTCTCACAATAATATCATGGACCATCATAATATATCCTATTACAAGTCTCTTTGCTTAAATTAAGAATTATGGTGCAGTAAGAGAGAACTACATAGACCATGATCCTTTGCTCCATTTCAGACTACATGAAGAAACAGTTCTAAGCACTTTTAAGCCTTAGTTCTTTGGGTTAAGTCTTCTCAAGGCATTTTAAGAGGAAAAAGTAGCATATTAACAGTTCTGTTTGCCTCCACAAATATTGCAATAAATATCGTACCGTGAGATGTGTATCGTGAAAATATCGTACAGAGAGATTTGGATATTTTTACATCCCTAATCATGAGCCACCCCATCATATCGTGAGCTTTCCGACGATATCGCAATAAATATCGTACCGTGAGGATCATACTGTGACGATATTGTATCGTGAGACTTGGATATCGTTACACCCCTATTATTTGACCCATAATGTTGGATTTATGACCTTTGG